GTCCCGTCTAACCCGTCTCCTCCTCCCACAGACAGAAGCTGGTTCTTCACGCCACTAAAGCCCGGTCTCTGTTCACCGAGGAGTGCGCCATGAAGTACCGCCTCTTCATCTCCAAAAGCGAAGAGTGGATGAGGTGTGCCTTCCTCACGCAGGGGGCGGGGCTAGTAGAGCCTTCAGGTCCTTGAGTGTTCCTCTTTGTTCTCAGGAAGATTCACCTGATCAGGAAGCAGCTGCTCGGTCTGTCGGGTCAGCTGATCAGCATCGAGAAGGAGGTGACCGTGCTGATGGAGAGAGCCATCAAGGTAAACAACAAACAACAACAACACTGATGCTGTTTAAACGTGTGTGACGGCGTTAGTCTGGGGAACCGGTTCTGATCCGGCTGGAGGAGAACCGGTTCTGATCCGGCTGATGGAGAACCAGTTTGGTTCTGATCCGGCTGAAGGAGAACCGGTTCTGATCCGGCTGATGGACAACCGGTTCTGATCCGGCTGGAGGAGAACCGGTTCTGATCCGGCTGGAGGAGAACCGGTTCTGATCCGGCTGAAGGAGAACCGGTTCTGATCCGGCTGAAGCATGCGAGTATTGAGGTTGGAACCCGACTGCTCAGTGCAGCTGGTACCGTCTGGACACTTGTCTTCTGATGATGTCATGTTATGCAGAGTAATGGTTTATGCTCTTTTATGAAAGAGGAACCATCCTACATATTCTATAGTTTAACCAGTATATAACTACTCTCACACAACACGCCTGCAGCAACAGTTAGGACTCCTCCCTCCCTTTTAAAAGCGTTTTCGCTTGTGAGGACATTGTGGTTGTAAAGCCACATGTTAGCAGTCTGGCCTCGGTGTGATCAACCAGTTTCTGCGGGAATGTGACGGCGGAACCGGTTCGCAGCGGCGCGAGTCCCCCCCCCCCCCCCCCCCCCCCCCCCCGCCTATCTAATAGCGTCGCGCTTACAATTTTATAGACTTTTTTACGAGTTTAGGGCATGTCTAGCCTGTGTAATAATCCGGGGCTTGGGTGAATCACTTTTGAAAAGATTTTAACTTACCCGGACACAGAGCTCTCTCCTTCCTCGCTGATGATTCTGACATGCTTGCGTTTAAGACGCTGCATCATCACCGTAGTATCCCCGTGCCATGCTAAGTCTGACCTACAAACGTTGCATGTCTTCGCCTGATTTAACTGAAAATGCTCCCAAACTTTAGAAGTTTTTACTTTTTTGGGGTCTCGCTGCTTCTGCCATGTTCCTCTTACAAACACCTGCCGGCTCTCCACCGGTCTGCGCGCAACGGCGGGCAGGAGGGGAGGGGGCTTTTGGAAGAGTTGCGCAACACAACGAATCGATGACGCAATTCGTTGCCAACGCTTTTAGTAATCGATTTTCATCGAATTTATCGATTCGTTGTTGCAGCCCTATTCCCATGGAAAAGCTAGTCATAACATAACAAAGTCTTAAACTTCCTTTCCTTTATTTTAAGTTGTTAAATGATCATTATTATCACTTTGCTCATTATAAATGTGTTTTCATCAAATGAATGATTATTATGCTTTGGGTAATCATAATAACTAATGAATCAATGCTTAATTAAATAATGTTTGAAGATGTTTTAGTGGTGACCTTCACACACTCAAACACTCACACACACACACTCTCTCACAGTAAACTCCAAAACACATTTGCTGACGCACACGTTTGCTTTGAGAAGAGAACTGGGTTTGGTAAGTTTCAGTCTGATGATTCAGTTCGAGTTTGTCAACGAGAGAGTTTGGACGTGTTGAACACGCACCCGGGGAAGGGAGCCTGCGGCTCCTGTCTTCCCCCCCCCCCCCCCCCCCCCCCACGCTGTTCCTGCCAAGCCAGACAGGAATAGCTGAATTACAACCGCTAACACAGACTCGTTCAGAGTCTTTGATTTTCTGAGTAATTAAACTTAACCCTTTGATGCATAACGGTCACTACAGTGGACAGGTACTCAAAATTGTTATTTATTTGTTTTTGTTATTAAGCACAGCTGTTGAAGACTTAATTGTGTTTGAGCTCCTCCATTTGGACTTCGGTAAGGCAAGCCAACATATTTCATGTTCAGATTGCACGCTGTCCACTGAGGTAGACATGTAATAAATTATTTGTAAATTATAAAATTTTACAAAAAAAATTTGTTGAAATTTGTTTCATTCACACCTAAAAACGAATGAAAAAAAATGTTTAAAAAATCACGGTTGAAGATCTCATAATTCATGCATCAAAGGGTTTAAGAAGACTCAAAGGTTGTTTTCATCGATAAACTGTCGATAATATCCGTGGGTCTGTGTTTCAGTTCAATGAAGAGACAAGTTTGAAAGTGAAAAGTTTTAATTCTTCAAATTAAACTAATGATTTTGACATAACAAGCATAGGAAACAACAATCAACATTGGCAACTTTGTTGAACAATCTTTAACAGTTGATATTGTAAACTTGCTCAAATAGACCTTGTGTTGGATGTGTTGAAGATTGAGAATGAGGTGAGATGAATGCGTGTGTGCGTCTGATTTTGCTTCAGGAAGAAACAGGTGTCTGAGTGAAAAGTGATGGTTTGAATAAACTTAGGTTTTGTTGGAAAAGATGCATCAAACGCTCTCTGCCGTGTTCTGCCTCACCCTACGAGGACCCTCGTTCAGATCCGGAACGTCAACGGACGATGTTTCATCCAGGTCACCTCGGCTGGCAGAGAAGACGAAGGTGTCCACCGGTCCGGTCCAGAGATGCCCCCTGGTACACGTGATGATGAAGCGTTTGTAGATGCGCTTTCTTAAGTTTAATTACTCAGAAAATCAAAGACTCTGAACGAGTCTGTGTTAGCGGTTGTAATTCAGCTATTCCTGTCTGGCTTGGCAGGAACAGCGTGGGGGGGGGGGGGGGGGGGGGGGGGGACAGGAGCCGCAGGCTCCCTTCCCCGGGTGCGTGTTCAACACGTCCAAACTCTCTCGTTGACAAACTCGAACTGAATCATCAGACTGAAACTTACCAAACCCAGTTCTCTTCTCAAAGCAAACGTGTGCGTCAGCAAATGTGTTTTGGAGTTTACTGTGAGAGAGTGTGTGTGTGTGAGTGTTTGAGTGTGTGAAGGTCACCACTAAAACATCTTCAAACATTATTTAATTAAGCATTGATTCATTAGTTATTATGATTACCCAAAGCATAATAATCATTCATTTGATGAAAACACATTTATAATGAGCAAAGTGATAATAATGATCATTTAACAACTTAAAATAAAGGAAAGGAAGTTTAAGACTTTGTTATGTTATGACTAGCTTTTCCATGGGAATAGGGCTGCAACAACGAATCGATAAATTCGATGAAAATCGATTACTAAAAGCGTTGGCAACGAATTGCGTCATCGATTCGTTGTGTTGCGCAACTCTTCCAAAAGCCCCCTCCCCTCCCGCCCACCGTTGCGCGCAGACCGGTGGAGAGCCGGCAGGTGTTTGTAAGAGGAACATGGCAGAAGCAGCGAGACCCCAAAAAAGTAAAAACTTCTAAAGTTTGGGAGCATTTTCAGTTAAATCAGGCGAAGACATGCAACGTTTGTAGGTCAGACTTAGCATGGCACGGGGATACTACGGTGATGATGCAGCGTCTTAAACGCAAGCATGTCAGAATCATCAGCGAGGAAGGAGAGAGCTCTGTGTCCGGGTAAGTTAAAATCTTTTCAAAAGTGATTCACCCAAGCCCCGGATTATTACACAGGCTAGACATGCCCTAAGCTCGTAAAAAAGTCTATAAAATTGTAAGCGCGACGCTATTTGATAGGCGGGGGGGGGGGGGGACTCGCGCCGCTGCGAACCGGTTCCGCCGTCACATTCCCGCAGAAACTGGTTGATCACACCGGGGCCAGACTGCTAACATGTGGCTTTACAACCTCAGTGTCCTCACAAGCGAAAACGCTTTTAAAAGGGAGGGAGGAGTCCTAACTGTTGCTGCAGGCGTGTTGTGTGAGAGTGTAGTTATATACTGGTTAATATATTTTTGGGTTCAGTTGCTTTCATGTGGCCTAATGTGAGTCTATTTGGGATCATTGGAATGATCAGCAGCATCTCTTGATGTGACTTTATGGCAGTTGCCCAGGGCATCATCACAAGGAGGATGGCATTCATTTACTTTTGTTTTATTTGGTATTTTTCAGTCATTTTTGGAAATAGTGATTAATTCACAGCCTATGTTTAATTTCATTTAAAAATTAGTTGTTTGACATCCCCAATTATAATAAATGTCTACAGATGAGATCAAACAAAACAGATGAGAATTGCCCTTAAAGAGCAAGTCACCCCCAAATAAACTTTTTTTTGCTGATAAACTAAATAAACGAGTGTCTAATCGTGCTGCAGACACGTGTCGTCAATAATTTGGCACTTCAGTGCATCTTAGTTAAAATTTAAATATTCTGCCTAAAACTGGCAGTGTTGTGCCGTTGTCAGGTAAAAACTCTGCACTGTATTTTAATTTAAATCTGCCACCGCTATTGGCTAAGAAGTATGCTATGATGTAAACTGGTACATTATGATGTCACAATGCTGTCGTGAGCCTGAGTGTGTGTGTATTTGTTAGCGGCTCCGCCCTCTCGGTCTGCCAGGCAACAGCATGTGTTGCATTTTTCAAACATGAAGCGGGAGTGGAGTTAGACTCTGGTAGGGGTTGACTTGCTCTTTAAGCTGTTTAACTTGGACCAAGCATTTTAGGTCACAGATAGGTGTAGCTTAAGGTCTCTGTCTATACACCTTATAAGACAATTTAGGTGATGGCATGTTGGTTTTCTGCTATTGAACTGTTTTCTAATAATGTTGTGTTTAAGTGAAGGAAGGAAGGAGAAAAATAACGTTTCCCTAGCAGTTTTAAAAAATGTCCCTATGTAATCCGATTAATCGATTAATCGTGTCGAGACCCCATCCGATTAATCGATTATCCAAATAATCGTTTGTTGCAGCCCTACATGGGAACAACATCTTCTGGCACTGCAGGTGTTCAGATGTTATGGTTTGTCCCAGACTCGCTGGCGTTCAGGTCTTAATCTGTGGGTGAAAGTTCTCAGCGACCCAGCTTTGACCCAGCCGGGCAAAGTATAACCTTTGGCACAGAAAACCCATATTTCCTCACGTTACACCACAAACAGGCGTGACACCATCTGACTTCCCGCGTGTTCCACATCAGCTGTGCTGCAGCGTTGATGTTGTCCGTTTCTTCTGCCGGTGGTTGTTTACGGTTTGTGTTCCTGCCGGTGGTTGTTTACTGTTTGTGTTCCTGCCGGTGTTTGTTTACTGTTTGTGTTCCTGCAGGTGTTTGTTTACTGTTTGTGTTCCTGCCGGTGTTTGTTTACTGTTTGTGTTCCTGCCGGTGTTTGTTTACTGTTTGTGTTCCTGCCGGTGTTTGTTTACTGTTTGTGTTCCTGCCGGTGTTTGTTTACTGTTTGTGTTCCTGCCGGTGTTTGTTTACTGTTTGTGTTCCTGCCGGTGTTTGTTTACGGTTTGTGTTCCTGCCGGTGTTTGTTTACTGTTTGTGTTCCTGCCGGTGGTTGTTTACTGTTTGTGTTCCTGCCGGTGTTTGTTTACTGTTTGTGTTCCTGCCGGTGGTTGTTTACTGTTTGTGTTCCTGCCGGTGTTTGTTTACTGTTTGTGTTCCTGCCGGTGTTTGTTTACTGTTTGTGTTCCTGCCGGTGTTTGTTTACTGTTTGTGTTCCTGCCGGTGTTTGTTTACGGTTTGTGTTCCTGCCGGTGTTTGTTTACGGTTTGTGTTCCTGCCGGTGTTTGTTTACGGTTTGTGTTCCTGCCGGTGTTTGTTTACTGTTTGTGTTCCTGCCGGTGTTTGTTTACTGTTTGTGTTCCTGCCGGTGTTTGTTTACTGTTTGTGTTCCTGCCGGTGTTTGTTTACGGTTTGTGTTCCTGCAGGTGTTTGTTTACGGTTTGTGTTCCTGCAGGTGTTTGTTTACTGTTTGTGTTCCTGCCGGTGGTTGTTTACTGTTTGTGCTCCTGCCGGTGGTTGTTTACGGTTTGTGTTCCTGCCGGTGGTTGTTTACTGTTTGTGTTCCTGCCGGTGTTTGTTTACGGTTTGTGTTCCTGCAGGTGTTTGTTTACTGTTTGTGTTCCTGCCGGTGTTTGTTTACGGTTTGTGTTCCTGCCGGTGGTTGTTTACTGTTTGTGTTCCTGCCGGTGTTTGCTTACTGTTTGTGTTCCTGCAGGTGTTTGTTTACTGTTTGTGTTCCTGCCGGTGTTTGTTTACTGTTTGTGTTCCTGCCGGTGTTTGTTTACGGTTTGTGTTCCTGCCGGTGGTTGTTTACTGTTTGTGTTCCTGCCGGTGTTTGTTTACGGTTTGTGTTCCTGCAGGTGTTTGTTTACTGTTTGTGTTCCTGCCGGTGTTTGTTTACGGTTTGTGTTCCTGCCGGTGTTTGTTTACTGTTTGTGTTCCTGCCGGTGTTTGTTTACTGTTTGTGTTCCTGCCGGTGTTTGTTTACTGTTTGTGTTCCTGCCGGTGTTTGTTTACTGTTTGTGTTCCTGCCGGTGTTTGTTTACTGTTTGTGTTCCTGCCGGTGTTTGTTTACTGTTTGTGTTCCTGCCGGTGTTTGTTTACTGTTTGTGTTCCTGCCGGTGGTTGTTTACGGTTTGTGTTCCTGCCGGTGGTTGTTTACTGTTTGTGTTCCTGCCGGTGTTTGTTTACTGTTTGTGTTCCTGCCGGTGTTTGTTTACTGTTTGTGTTCCTGCCGGTGGTTGTTTACTGTTTGTGTTCCTGCCGGTGATTGTTTACTGTTTGTGTTCCTGCCGGTGTTTGTTTACTGTTTGTGTTCCTGCCGGTGGTTGTTTACTGTTTGTGTTCCTGCCGGTGGTTGTTTACTGTTTGTGTTCCTGCCGGTGTTTGTTTACTGTTTGTGTTCCTGCCGGTGGTTGTTTACTGTTTGTGTTCCTGCCGGTGGTTGTTTACGGTTTGTGTTCCTGCCGGTGATTGTTTACTGTTTGTGTTCCTGCCGGTGGTTGTTTACGGTTTGTGTTCCTGCCGGTGTTTGTTTACTGTTTGTGTTCCTGCCGGTGTTTGTTTACTGTTTGTGTTCCTGCCGGTGGTTGTTTACTGTTTGTGTTCCTGCCGGTGTTTATTTACGGTTTGTGTTCCTGCCGGTGGTTGTTTACTGTTTGTGTTCCTGCCGGTGATTGTTTACTGTTTGTGTTCCTGCCGGTGTTTGTTTACTGTTTGTGTTCCTGCCGGTGGTTGTTTACTGTTTGTGTTCCTGCCGGTGGTTGTTTACTGTTTGTGTTCCTGCCGGTGTTTGTTTACTGTTTGTGTTCCTGCCGGTGGTTGTTTACTGTTTGTGTTCCTGCCGGTGGTTGTTTACGGTTTGTGTTCCTGCCGGTGGTTGTTTACTGTTTGTGTTCCTGCAGGCGTTTGTTTACTGTTTGTGTTCCTGCCGGCGTTTGTTTACTGTTTGTGTTCCTGCCGGCGGTTGTTTACTGTTTGTGTTCCTGCCGGCGTTTGTTTACTGTTTGTGTTCCTGCCGGCGTTTGTTTACGGTTTGTGTTCCTGCCGGTGTTTGTTTACGGTTTGTGTTCCTGCCGGTGTTTGTTTACGGTTTGTGTTCCTGCCGGTGTTTGTTTACTGTTTGTGTTCCTGCCGGTGTTTGTTTACGGTTTGTGTTCCTGCCGGTGTTTGTTTACTGTTTGTGTTCCTGCCGGTGTTTGTTTACGGTTTGTGTTCCTGCCGGTGTTTGTTTACTGTTTGTGTTCCTGCCGGTGTTTGTTTACGGTTTGTGTTCCTGCCGGTGTTTGTTTACTGTTTGTGTTCCTGCCGGTGTTTGTTTACTGTTTGTGTTCCTGCCGGTGTTTGTTTATGGTTTGTGTTCCTGCAGGTGTTTGTTTACTGTTTGTGTTCCTGCCGGTGTTTGTTTACGGTTTGTGTTCCTGCAGGTGTTTGTTTACGGTTTGTGTTCCTGCCGGTGTTTGTTTACTGTTTGTGTTCCTGCCGGTGTTTGTTTACTGTTTGTGTTCCTGCCGGTGTTTGTTTACGGTTTGTGTTCCTGCCGGTGTTTGTTTACTGTTTGTGTTCCTGCAGGTGTTTGTTTACGGTTTGTGTTCCTGCCGGTGTTTGTTTACGGTTTGTGTTCCTGCAGGTGTTTGTTTACGGTTTGTGTTCCTGCAGGTGTTTGTTTACGGTTTGTGTTCCTGCAGGTGTTTGTTTACTGTTTGTGTTCCTGCAGGTGTTTGTTTACTGTTTGTGTTCCTGCAGGTGTTTGTTTACGGTTTGTGTTCCTGCAGGTGTTTGTTTACTGTTTGTGTTCCTGCAGGTGTTTGTTTACGGTTTGTGTTCCTGCCGGTGTTTGTTTACTGTTTGTGTTCCTGCAGGCGTTTGTTTACTGTTTGTGTTCCTGCCGGCATTTGTTTACTGTTTGTGTTCCTGCCGGCGGTTGTTTACTGTTTGTGTTCCTGCCGGCGGTTGTTTACTGTTTGTGTTCCTGCCGGTGTTTGTTTACGGTTTGTGTTCCTGCCGGTGTTTGTTTACTGTTTGTGTTCCTGCCGGTGTTTGTTTACTGTTTGTGTTCCTGCCGGCGGTTGTTTACTGTTTGTGTTCCTGCCGGCGGTTGTTTACTGTTTGTGTTCCTGCCGGTGTTTGTTTACTGTTTGTGTTCCTGCAGGTGTTTGTTTACTGTTTGTGTTCCTGCAGGTGTTTGTTTACGGTTTGTGTTCCTGCCGGTGTTTGTTTACTGTTTGTGTTCCTGCAGGTGTTTGTTTACTGTTTGTGTTCCTGCCGGCATTTGTTTACTGTTTGTGTTCCTGCCGGCGGTTGTTTACTGTTTGTGTTCCTGCCGGCGGTTGTTTACTGTTTGTGTTCCTGCCGGTGTTTGTTTACAGTTTGTGTTCCTGCCGGTGTTTGTTTACTGTTTGTGTTCCTGCCGGTGTTTGTTTACTGTTTGTGTTCCTGCCGGCGGTTGTTTACTGTTTGTGTTCCTGCCGGCGGTTGTTTACTGTTTGTGTTCCTGCCGGTGTTTGTTTACTGTTTGTGTTCCTGCCGGTGTTTGTTTACTGTTTGTGTTCCTGCAGGTGTTTGTTTACTGTTTGTGTTCCTGCCGGCGGTTGTTTACTGTTTGTGTTCCTGCCGGCGGTTGTTTACTGTTTGTGTTCCTGCAGGTGTTTGTTTACTGTTTGTGTTCCTGCCGGCGGTTGTTTACTGTTTGTGTTCCTGCCGGCGGTTGTTTACTGTTTGTGTTCCTGCCGGTGTTTGTTTACTGTTTGTGTTCCTGCCGGTGTTTGTTTACTGTTTGTGTTCCTGCAGGTGTTTGTTTACTGTTTGTGTTCCTGCCGGCGGTTGTTTACTGTTTGTGTTCCTGCCGGTGGTTGTTTACTGTTTGTGTTCCTGCAGGTGTTTGTTTACTGTTTGTGTTCCTGCCGGCGGTTGTTTACTGTTTGTGTTCCTGCCGGCGGTTGTTTACTGTTTGTGTTCCTGCCGGTGTTTGTTTACTGTTTGTGTTCCTGCCGGTGGTTGTTTACTGTTTGTGTTCCTGCCGGTGTTTGTTTACTGTTTGTGTTCCTGCCGGTGGTTGTTTACTGTTTGTGTTCCTGCCGGCTCAGCGGTGGAACGGCGGCTGACTTCTCTTTAGGATGAATAACGTATTTTAAGTCATCGTTCATGTGACCTGGTGAAGGCTCCTGATTGGTCGCTGTAGATCCGCTCAGATCCTCGAGTAAACACTCTGATGTTTGTTCCAGCTGCAGGAACATCTGCCTCCAAAGGTCCTGCCTCTGGTGTCGACGGGGCTGAAGTCGCAGGCGTACCTGAGTCCCAACACGCTGGTGGAGATGACTCTGGGGTAAGAGGTTCTTCTTCTACACGGTGTCACGTTCCTGACCCGGTTCTGACGGGTCGACGTGTCTCCTTCAGGATGAAGAAGCTGAAGGAGGAGATGGAGGGAGTTGTCAAGGAGCTGGCGGAGAACAACCACTTCTTAGAGAGGTCAGGATCGGGGTCACATGTTCTGTTATATGAGACCGGAACCAGAACCAGAACCAGATGGGCTTGTGGGGGCTGATTGGGTTTTAGCTGGATTTCCTGGTGGTTCTGGTCCATGTCCTGGTTTGTGTCTAACCTGAGAACTTTTCTCTTGCAGGTTTGGGACGCTGACGTTGGACGGAGGACTGAGAGGCTGAAGACACAGAGACATAATCCCTGTTAATCCCTGTACATAATCTGTGTTTGTTCTGTAGATAAGCTCCGATTCAGAGCCGGGCCTCCAGAACCTCTTCCTCAGACGAAGCCGCCAGCGGTTACCGTCCAAGGTCCAGACCCTCAGAGGGTGGATGAGCTTCCACAGAATTCTCATCATGTGATGTTTTTTATTTAATGGTGCGGACTCGGGCGAAGTTCCCTCGGGTCTAAAGCAGGAAGCGGAACGTTAGTCGGATCTCTGGAATCTGGCAGCGTCTCCGACCCGAACACCAAGACCCTTTTGGGGGAATTCTGGGATAAATCTGAGAGGAGTCGTTCAGAAACGTTTATATCATTAAAATAAGAATCAAAGCTCGTCCGGATCTTCTGTGATTTTATCCTGGTCTGAAGGAATTCCGTCTCTTCCTGTTCCTAGGAGCATCCGTGTCTCTTCATCTCCACCTTCTGTTTAATCTGTAAATAAAGAAATAAAAGCTCCTAGAACACCTGCAGCAGAATCTTCTGTTAGGCTCTGTGTCCCGCTTCGGACCCGGTCCGAATCTGATCCCATCAGGAAGAAACACGGAAGTTTCAGTAACAACTTCCTGGAAAAGACGTGACTAGAAGGATTTTACAGGAACGTCCATCCATCTGCTGACTGGTTACTGGAGTGGAATCGCCTCCGTCACCCAGATAAGAGCCCCTAAAAGTGTGTGTGTGTGTGTGTGTGTGTGTGTGTGATGTGTGTGTGTGTGTGTGAGATGTGTGTGTGTGAGATGTGTGTGTGAGATGTGTGTGTGTGTGATGTGTGTGTGTATCCAGACTGGTGCAGCGGGGGATTCTGGGTGGCGGTCAGTAGCTTCAGCATCACGTGAGTTTAACATTTGACTGAAGCTGTTCCTCGTTTCCAGATCTTCCTGCTCTAGGTGTTCCCAGCAGCGCTCCTGGCTCTCGGACTGCAGACTTCCTTCCTGGAGGTCGTACTAGAAGAAGGTGAAGCGGAGCTTTCCGTTCTCAGATCCTCTCTGGGGGGACCAGCTGACATCTGCTCTGACAGCAGCGTGTTCCCGTCTAACAGATCGGCTCTGGAATGTTTAGTTTACATTTTGAGATGAATTTCCACATCGTCCGTAGTCCTTTTCCATCCCTCCGCCTCCTCTTGGTCCTACTCTTTGTTCCCATAGTAACCATCTTGCTGGAAAATCTCTTCTGTGCTGCGGTTGTCATGGCAATGTGATGCGACAGCATCCTCTCGTGGCATCAAGCCAACAACTGCAGACGGATGGTGGCGTTTCCTTTTATAGAGACGCTGTGTTGGGAGTCCAGTGACAGGATGCTCAAAGGCTGCTGGGTGATGTAAACAACAGCAACCAGGTGTAAACAACAGCAACCAGATATAAACAACAATCAGATGTAAACCACCAGATGTAAACAACTAGATATAAACAACAACCAGGTGCAAAAACCAACAACCAGGTGTAAACAACAGCAACCAGGTATAAAAAACAACCAGATGTAAACAACTGCAACCAGATGTAAACATTCAGATATAAACAACAATCAGATGTAAACAACCAGATATAAACTGCAACCAGATGTGAACAACAACCAGGTGTAAACAACAACAATCAGATGTAAACAACAGCAACCAGATGTAAAAAAACAACCAGATATAAACAACAATCGGATGTAAACAACAGCAACCAGATGTAAACATTCAGATATAAACAACAATCAGATGTAAACAACCAGATATAAACTGCAACCAGATGGTGGGTTGTAAACAACAACCAGGTGTAAACAACAACAATCAGATGTAAACAACAGCAACCAGATATAAACAACAATCGGATGTAAACAATAGCAACCAGATGTAAACATTCAGATATAAACAACAATCAGATGTAAACAACAGCAACCAGATGTAAACAACAACCAGGTGTAAACAACAGCAACCAGATGTAAACAACAATCAGATGTAAACAACAATCAGACGTAAACAACAGCAACCAGATGTAAACATTCAGATATAAACAACAATCAGATGTAAACAACAGCAACCAGATGTAAACAACAACCAGGTGTAAACAACAACAACCAGATGTAAACAACAGCAACCAGATGTAAACAACAATCAGATGTAAACAACAATCAGACGTAAACAACAGCAACCATATGTAAACATTCAGATATAAACAACAACCAGACGTAAACAACAACCAGACGTAAACAACAGCCAGGTGTAAACAACAACCAGATGTAAACAACAACAACCAGACGTAAACAACAACCAGGTGTAACTCTCACTAGGCAGACTGGATATTCTCTACACGTTTAATTACACTTTAACAGTAAATCAGTCATTCATCCGTTCACTCGCTGGTGGGGATGAGCTACGATGTAGCCACAGCTGCCCTGGTCTTCCAGCCACCACCAGCAGGCAGGGTGGGTTGTCTTGCCCAAGGACACGACAGACTGAGCAGGATTCGAACCTGCAACCTTCCCATTGCAGGGCGAGCACTTAACTCCTGCCGCCCCATTGTCTCAGACGTACATCTGTAGTGAATCTGGAGATGAGACGACATTTATCTCATCTGCGATGTTTTTCTGCCTCTGTGATCGGGACGAAGAACTCTGGACTTTAAAAGACGAGCAGCGGGGCGACGGGAACGTCAGAACGATCAAAAACACGACTTTTAGGTAGAAATATGACAGATTTAATGTTTCAGCAGGTTGTGACGCCGATCAGCTGATCGCTGAGGGACACAGAAGAAATCAGCTTTGTGATTTTTTACATTTAATGTTGTGTTGATTGTTTTAACAGCGCCCACATGGTCACATTTTATTCAGACGTCATATTTATAGATTACCATAAGTGTTCTTCATGCCCCCCCCCCCCCCCCAAAAAAAAATTAAATGGAATTTTCACACCTAAACACACACACACACACACAGGTTTAGGGTTTATGTATTTATGGTTTAAAGAAATGAAAAAAACTTAATAAATAAAAACTGCAGTCCGGTCCCGGGCCTCCATGTTGTTTGGGCCCCAGAACCGGCTCGGTTCGCCCCTGCGGGAGCCCCCCCCCCCCCCCCCCCCCCCCCATCAGCTGCAGCTCCGTCCAGCCATGATGTTCTCTTCTTCCTCCTGAGAACCACAAGGAGACGCGGTTCTGATTTCGGCCCACATCCTGCCCGCCCTTGTCCGGATTCTGTAGCCCCGCTTCGGACTCGGATCTGCTCGGAACTCAGCCCAGTTGCAGGGCTCGGTTCCGTCCAGCAGCAGATGCTCGGGCCTTGATGCACAACGGCTCGTTACTACGTGTCTGATAGGTGATGGAGGGGATCCGCCTCTGTGATGCCGAACCGGTAAGACCCGTTTTACTCCTGCTTGGGTTATTTGGGTCCGGGTAGCTGCTCGACCAGAACCGGAGCCCGGTCCGTTTCTTGGTGTTAGATTAGAAAAATGGTGATTCTGCTCCAACAGATCAGCAGCTTCAGAACCTCCAAGACCCAGGTAGAAGGAGCAACAGGTTCCTCCTGCAGCCTCCCCCCCCCCCCCCCCCCCATATGATCCTGCTCCCCTCTCCTCTGTCTGCTCTTTCTCCTGCACCTCCTCCTCTTGCTGCTCCTCCTCCCCTGCTGCTGCTCCTCCTCAGAACTCCTTCAGGTTTTCTCCTCTGGTCTGACCTGAGATGAGAAACTTGGCGTTTTAAATCTGAAACTCTTTTTCGACCGTTTCTAGGTTGTTTTTATTTATTAATCAGGATTAATTTAGGAGAAACAATTGAAACTTTGGACCGGATCAGACCCAGATCAGGGTCCAGACCCGGCCTGTAGAGCTGGACCCTGATGCTCAATCCAGACTAATGCAAGTGGACAGAAGGAGGTCCATGAGGAGCAGCACCAACTGTAGAGGGAGAGGGGGTGGGGGGGTGGTTCTGTTGGTAACCGGGTTAACTAGCAGCTGAATAGAGCCCAGTCAGCAGTACATGACTGTAAACAGAGGGCTTTGTCTCTGGAGGCTGTCCACATCCTTAAGGTGGGTCCTGGGGGGCAGCAGAATCCCTGCAGAACCTGAACCGGGTCCCTGCAGGACCAGCGAGTCGATCCGGTTCTCCTTCAGCCGGTTTAAACCATCCAATCAGCAGACGCAGATAACCTAACCAGCCTCACTCATCAGTCACCTTCAGTAACAGTCTAACCAGCTGCAAGCAGACTAAAGTTACTAACTAACTAGTTAACTAGTTCTTGTTCGTTCACCAGAGACACAACGAAGGTCAGTTACTAACTAACCAGTTAACTAGTTCTTGTTCGTTCACCAGAGACACAACGAAGGTCAGTTACTAACTAACCAGTTAACTAGTTCTTGTTCGTTCACCAGAAAAAAACGAAGGTCAGTTACTAACTAACTAGTTAACTAGTTCTTGTTCGTTCACCAGAGACACAACAAAGGTCAGTTACTAACTAACCAGTTAACTAGTTCTTGTTCGTTCACCAGAGACACAACGAAGGTCAGTTACTAACTAACCAGTTAACTAGTTCTTGTTCGTTCACCAGAGACACAACGAAGGTCAGTTACTAACTAACCAGTTAACTAGTTCTTGTTCGTTCACCAGAGACACAACGAAGGTCAGTTACTAACTAACTAGTTAACTAGTTCTTGTTCGTTCACCAGAAAAAAACGAAGGTCAGTTACTAACTAACCAGTTAACTAGTTCTTGTTCGTTCACCAGAGACACAACGAAGGTCAGTTACTAACTAACTAGTTAACTAGTTCTTGTTCGTTCACCAGAAAAAAACGAAGGTCAGTTACTAACTAACTAGTTAACTAGTTCTTGTTCGTTCACCAGAGACACAACGAAGGTCAGTTATTAACTAACCAGTTAACTAGTTCTTGTTCGTTCACCAGAGACACAACGAAGGTCAGTTACTAACTAACCAGTCAACTAGTTCTTGTTCGTTCACCAGAGACACAACGAAGGTCAGTTACTAACTAACTAGTTAACTAGTTCTTGTTCGTTGACCAGAGACACATCGAAGGTCGTTAAACACACAATGTTTAATCCAAGAAAATAAACGAGTTCATAAAACAACCAACCGGCTCAATCTCCACCAGCTGGTTAACTAAAGACTAACTAGTAGTAATTATGTAACTTCTAACCAGCGTGTCAGCACATGACCATCAGAACCCAACCGTCCTCACACCCTCTGTTCACCACCCCTCCCTCCCTCGGTCATAACCGCGCTTAACTCGGTCATCTTCTAGATCACCAAACGGAGCCGGTGGGTCAGTCGGCGCTTTCAGAGCTTGTAGAGCAGAAGTCCTTTCCTGCTGCGTTGTTCTAACCAAGAACCTGTTTGTGTCCGCAGCTCTTCTGTGGAGCAGCGGAGTAGCGATGGTGTTCGCCCAGTCCAGCACCAGAGCTGCTGTGAAGCCATCCATGCTCTCTCCAGCTTTCGTGTGTCAGATGTCCTTTAACTACTCAGAGAGGGAGAACTCGACGGTCCTGGCTCCTGAACCCACCTCCACCTTCTGCTGCCCTGAAGGCTCCTCCTCCAGCTCTGCCCTGGGCCAACTGACTTCGGGTGAGATCGCCATCCTGGGCCTGGTGTTCGCGGTTCTCTGGCTGGTCTCCGTCTTGGGAAATGCGCTCGTGTGTTTGGTCATCCACAGAAGCCGGCGCACTCAGTCCACCACCAACTACTTTGTGGTATCGATGGCCTGTGCTGACCTGCTCATGAGCCTGGGCTGTGCTCCGTTTGTCCTGCTGCAGGTCGCAGCGGGACGCTGGCCACTCAGCGCCGCGGCCTGCAAGGTGGTGCGCTACCTGCAGCACCTCTGCCCAGGTGTTCAGGTGTATGTCTTGCTCTCAATCTCCGTAGACCGCTTCTACACGATTGTCTATCCCCTCAGCTTCAAGGTGTCCAGGGAAAAGGCGAAGAAGATGATCCTGGCCTCGTGGCTGTTTGACACCGCCTTTATCTGTCCCTGCTTCTTCTTCTATGGTTCCATGTCTACAGACAGTCGTTGTGACTTTTTCCTTCCAGGCAGCTGGGGCAGTGTGACTTATGCTGCTACTCATCTCCTGCTGGGCTTCTTCATACCTGCAGCATTGATCATATTTTTCTACCAACGTGTGGTTCGCTACATCTGGAGAATCAGTGCTGATGGCCACACGGTGCGCCGGACCATGAACATCGTCCCGCGGACTAAAGTCAAGACCATCAAGATGTTCCTCATGCTCAACTCGGTTTTCTTCCTCACCTGGATGCCCTTCTACGTTGTCCAGTTGTTGCACCCAAAAGCGTCTGATGTACCCAGCAGACAGGAGCTGTTGTCCTTCACAGTCATAACCTGGATCTGCTTCAGCTCCACGGCGTCCAAACCGACTCTGTACTCGGTCTACAATGCCAACTTCAGACGTGGCATGCGGGAGACATTCTGCATGTCGTCCATGAAGTGCTACCGTAGTAACGCATACACCATCACCGCCAGCTCCCGGATGGCCAAGAAGAACTATGTTGGGGCGGTGGACATCCCGGTGCAAGCAAAGACCATCACCAAGGACCCCACGTGTGATGCATTTGATCGGGATGCAAAAGAGAAGAAGGTAGCTTGGCCCACGACCGCCAACCCTCCAAACACGTTTGTGTGAACGACTTGGAACAATTTGAAACTGTAAACGAACAAAGCTACTGTGTCAGCAGCACGACGTCCGCATGGACTAGCTGGAAGCTAGCATCCTAACTATGTCTAAATCCATTCACTCTCAGTGCAGATCAGATGCTGTCCGGGATTCGGTAGAGCGTCTGCAGACCAAAATCAGAGCATTCACACCAGCTGCAGCGCTGCGCGGATCCAGACCTCTGGAGAGTTTCCACATGAAGTCTACTCTTCCGGCCCTGCACTCTGATTGTCATGAAGTAAAAGACACGACATGAGCCGGACAGCAAGTGAGGCGTGGCTCATGGAAGTACATCCGGCATACTTCAAAATAAACCTTGTCGCATTATTTTGGCAGGTTTTAGTTGAATTGTTAGTAACAAGGAAATGGGTTCACAGTGTGTGATAACTCACGTCCATCCTCCTCCGCCCATCCGGGGTCGGGTCGCCGGGGCAGCAGCCTAAGCAGGGAGGCCCAGACCTCCCCCTCCCAGCCACCTGGGCCAGCTGAGAGGCACCAGCCTGACCTGCCAGACTCGTCCTCTGGTCTACACAGAGAACGAGTCAAGTCTACTCCGAGTCCCTCCCACACAATTTCTCACCCTATCTCTTAAGGGAGAGCCAGCCGCCCTGCGGAGCAACTCACTTTGGCTGCTTCTATGGTAAAGGGCCTGTGTTCAATATAGCGCCATCTAGTGTCCAGGAACCCCCCAAGGCCCTTTACAACACAATCAGTCATTCACATATTCACACCTTGGTGGCGATGAGCTACACTGTAGCCACAGCTGCCTTGGGGCGCTCTGACAGAGGCAAGTCTGCCAAGCACAGGCTCCACAGGTCCCTCTTCCCAAGGACACGACGACAGCGACAGACTAAGTGGGGCTCGAACCTGCAACCTCCCGATTACAGGGTGAGTTCTTTGAGTCACTACCCACAGCTCGTGACCATAGGTGAGGGTGGGAATGTAGATGACCGGTAAACCGAGAGCTTTGCCTTCCAGCTCAGTTCTCTTTCCACCACAACAGACCGGTACAGAAACAAACTTCTGCTCACTCTGTGCTCTCGTGGGAGGCGCCAGTCAGCTGGAACGAGGGGTAACATGTGAAAAGGGCTTCTTGTGGGACTCCGGGCAGCCGCCCGTTTCATCTGAATCTGAAATTATTCCGGCGTTCTGCTTTGATGGACTGTTTTTGTCACTGATTTTTTTAATGTGTGTTGACCAAATATCAGTGAACTGTTGTGACTGCATCTGGTTTGCTTCTGTAGTAAAAGCTTATTTATTACTTCTGGCATCATGTGTTGCTTAGCAACAGCAGAGATCCTGGGTTGTGCTAGCAGAAACGTGTTTCTGTGTGAAACTCGTAACTAAATCTCACCCAGTGTAGACAGCCTCAGCAGAGAAAAGCAAGGTTCTGACACACGGGCTAATGGCTAGTTATTCCTGTTCTATGGAATTCTGTGCTTTTCCACATGCATTTTTGGTTTATTTACATCATAGATATTGATAAAGAATTCTGTATTTATTTATAAAGAGCTCTTTATTGGTTGTTATGGATGTCTGGTTACTGACAGTGTAATGAACTCCAGCAGCAGCTAAACGTAGCTTCGTCCAGCAGCAGCTAAACGTAGCTTCGCCCAATGGAAGGTAAACGTAGCTTCGTCCAGCAGCTGCTAAACGTAGCTTCGTCCAGCAGCAGCTAAATGTAGCTTCGTCCAGCAACAGCTAAACGTAGCTTCGTCCAGAAGCAGCTAAACGTAGCTTCGTCCAGCAACAGCTAAACGTAGCTTCATCCAGAAGCAGCTAAACGTAGCTTCGTCCAGCAGCAGCTAAACGTAGCTTCTTCCAGGAGCAGCTAAATGTAGCTTCGTCCAGCAACAGCTAAACGTAGCTTCTTCCAGGAGCAGCTAAATGTAGCTTCGTCCAGCAACAGCTAAACATAGCTTCATCCAGAAGCAGCTAAACGTAGCTTCGTCCAGCAGCAGCTAAACGTAGCTTCTTCCAGGAGCAGCTAAATGTAGCTTCATCCAACAAAAGTTAAACGTAGCTTCGTCCAGAAGCAGCTAAACGTAGCTTCGTCCAGAAGCAGCTAAACGTAGCTTCATCCAGAAGCAGCTAAACGTAGCTTCATCCAGAAGCAGCTAAACGTAGTTTCGTCCAACAGCAGCTAAACGTAGCTTCTTCCAGCAGACGCTAAATGTAGCTTCGTCCAGCAGACGCTAAACGTAGCTTCATCCAGCAGCTGCTAAACGTAGCTTCGCCCAGCAGAAGCTAAACGTAGCTTCGTCCAGCAGCAGCTAAATGTAGCTTCATCCAAAAAAAGCTAAACGTAGCTTCTTCCAACAGCAGATAAACGTAGCTTCGTCCAGCAGCAGCTAAATGTAGCTTCGTCCAGCAGCAGCTAAACGTAGCTTCTTCCAGGAGCAGCTAAATGTAGCTTCATCCAACAAAAGCTAAACATAGCTTCGTCCAGCAGCAGCTAAACGTAGCTTCGTCCAGCAGCAGCTAAACGTAGCTTCGTCCAGCAGCAGCTAAACGTAGTTTCGTCCAACAGAAGCTAAACGTAGCTTCGGCCAGCAGCAGCTAAACGTAGCTTCGGCCAGCAGCAGCTAAACGTAGCTTCGGCCAGCAGCAGCTAAACGTAGCTTCGTCCAGCAGCAGCTAAACGTAGCTTCTTCCAGGAGCAGCTAAACGTAGCTTCGTCCAGCAGCAGCTAAATGTAGCTTCTTCCAGGAGCAGCTAAACATAGCTTCGTCCAGCAGCAGCTAAATGTAGCTTCTTCCAGGAGCAGCTAAACATAGCTTCGTCCAGCAGAAGCTAAACGTAGCTTTGTCCAGCAGAGGCCATCCTGTCAGCGGAAGCTGAGCCACATATGTCACTGGGATATTTAGGAAATTGGAGCTGATTGAAGATGATCAAAACACTCTTTAGTCACGGCAGACTAGCCGTTAGCTCATCAGTACTGGAGGATTTAGTTTATTTTTCTCTGAACAGAGGCTGTTCAGGAAGTGGTCCACACCTGCTATGATAGGAACTATTTCAAAGTCTCTTTAAAGAGCAAGTCAACCCCTACCAGAGTCTAACTCCACTCCCACTTCATGTTTGAAAAATGCAACAAATGCTGTTGCCTGGCAGACCAAGGGGGCGGAGCTGCTAACAAATACACACACACAGACATTGTGACATCATAATCTACCAGTTTACATCATAGCATACCTCTTAGCCAATAGCGGTGGAAGATTTAAATTAGAATACAATGCAGAGTTTTTACCTGACAACGGCACAACACTGCCAGTTTTAGGCAGAATATTTAAATTTTAACTAAGATGCACTGAAGTGACAAATTATTGACGGCACGTGTCTGCAGCACGATTAGACACTCGTTTCTTTAGTTTATCAGCAAAAAAAAGGTTATTTGGGGTGACTTGCTCTTTAAAGAGCAAGTCACCCCCAAATCAACTTTATTGTTGTTGATAAACTATATAAATGTGTGTCTAATGGCTCTGTAGACACGTGCAGTCAATAATTTGGCACTTTAGTTAATCTTAGTTAAAATGTAAATAATCTGCCTAAAACTGTCAGTGTTGTGTCGTTGTCAGGTAAAAACTCTGCACTGCATTTGAATTTAAATCTGCCATCGCTATTGGCTAAGAGGTACCCTAGAACGTTAGCTGGTACCATATGATGTCACAATGTCGTTGTGAGCCTGTGTGTGTATTTGTTAGCGGCCCCGCCCTCTCGGTCGCTAGGCAACAGCATTTGTTGCATTTTTCAAACAGGAAGTGGGAGTGGAGTAATACTCTGGTAGGGGGTGACTTGCTCCCAATTCCTGTTTGAAAAATGCAACAAATGCTGTTGCCTAGCATACTGAGAAGGCGGAGCCGCTAACAAATACACACACACACAGGCTCACAGTGACATCATATGGTACCAGCCAACGTTCTAGGGTACCTCTTAGCCAATGATGGACAGAAGAGGGTCTGGACTCGCCCACACAAACATTTAAGTGCTTTTCTACAGGTTGTTTCATTATATTTAGGATTGCTTTAAAGGAACAACCTAAACAAGCGACCTTTAAAAATTAAACCAGTTACTGGTGAATGAAGAACATGTTTGGAGTTGTTTGAACCCAGCTGCAGACCTGAACCAGGCTCTGCTGCTGAAACTAGAAAACTAAACGAGACGTAGATGAGAAAGCTTTTATTTGTTCAGATAAAACTATTCTCTACAACCATCTCACAAAGTGCTTCAGAGGAAAGTGCACAAACGTTTCAGGAATTTTGAATCATCACGCTGCAGAGAAGGGACCAGTTAACTGCTGATTATCGTCACAATCTTCGTCTTCACACCAACGAGACCGACGCGTGGAGCTCGTAGAAAATACAAAAACATATTCCAGCTGAAGCTGCAGACCCTCATTGCCACAACAGACGGACTTTAACTCACAAACGCCACAGAAAGGTTTCTACATCCACCTGAAGCTTTGGTAAGTCCCGCACCTGTAACCAATCAGGTGATTCACTCACTTCCAATCAGAGAAAAAGATCAGTTTTAACTAAACATCCAGTCACACGTCATCAGACACTTCCTGCTCTGGAAAACAAAAAGGAAGATTTAGAAGGAACTTAATAAAAATTCTGATCTGAAGTCCGGGTCCCAACAGCTGCCTGTTTACAGGTCACCTGGAGACGATCCTGTCAGGTGACAGGTGAGCTGAAACATGGCAGAAGGAATTCCTGCGTGAGGAAGACGGGAAGCACCGCTCTCGGTTTAACTTTGAGCGCTGCCGCTGTTCTTGTTCTTGGATGTTTTGGTGCCGCCGCTGCTCTGAGGAATCTTCTGCTCATCTCCGGTCAGCAGAGCTTTGATTTCTGACGGGATCTTCCCCTGGTCCATGGCCGAGCACCACTGCTTGTACTGCAGAGAGGACACAAGACAAGGTAAGACACCTGCTGCTGGACGTCCAGCAGCATCCCGCTCTTGAGCCTGCGGGCACGGTCCTGCGGATGGTTTCCGCTGCTCTTTAGGGAGTCTACATCTCGCGTTACTTTTCTGTTAAACCTCAGAAGTTCTCGTTGCTGTTTTCCTTCTCACCATCTCCAGCTCCTCTCGCAGAGCGCAGATGGCCCTCTCCTTACTGGACACCAGTTCCTCCAGGTACTGGTATCGCAGTTTCTTCCTGGCCCGGCACTCTCTGGCACTCTGTCGGCTCCGCTCCAGCTTGGCCTTCAGGTCGATCTTCGCTGGCTTGCGGCCGCGTTTTCCAGGTTTCTTTGATTTTCCTGCCACCATCTGAGCACAAACAGAGGACCATTAGGCTGGGCACGTGACTGCAGCCATGTTGGTGATGACAGGATTAACTCGGTTATCGCCCCCACCGGAACCGGATCATCAGGTTCTGTAGTAAAAACAGACAACGTTGGTAACAACCGCGGTTCCGGTTCTGCTCCGTGCCAGTCAGGGTTTGGACTGGTAAACCCTGGTGACCTGGTTAAAACAACCTTAACCTGTAACTAGTTACTTACGCCTTCGGGTCCCCCAGGCTTTCTGCATCGGAATCCCGAACCCTCCCAACAGCGGTAACCGGGTCAGAACCGAGACCGAGGGCTTTGAGTTTGACCTAGCCTAGCTAGCAGCAGTTGTCTGTTAGCTTCTCACCTTGTTATCTTCCATGTCGTTCCGCACGACGCTCAGAGACAAAAAGGTCCAAAAGGACACGAACTCTGAGCCTGTCCGAGTCCGGTCCGCAGAAGTAGTCTAGTTCAGTTCGGAACGGACAGTTAACAGTTCCGGCTACTGGGTTCTCTCTTGTTTACATCCAGTTCAGCGATAGGATTCTTCTTCGTGACTTTATTAGCAGTAGGCATAAAGCGAGTCGGTGCGCTACCGCCACCTACCGGACAACAACGGAAAACGGATAAATCACTCAAATATATCAGAAAATCTTCCGTTGAGCGGAATCACGTTTCCCTTTTATTCAGTTTCCCTCTGAAAAGCAGCAGTTTGTCAGATTAGTGTATTTGTGTCTGAATAACGTCTTTATTCATCATCTCGTTTATTCTGTCTCTGTGTATCTTATACACACACACACACACACACACACACACACACACACACACACACACACACACACACACACACACACACACACACACACACACACACACACACACACACACACACACACACGGCTGGATAAAAAACTAGATGAGTGCCAGACTTACAAGCAGGGGACCTGGGGCAAAACTATACCAGCATCCAGTGTGGGCCCAAAGGCAGAACACGGTGCTACTCGGCCGCCTCATATCATGATTAGAGCAACCAAAATGAATGAGATGCCAGCTCAGACGTCACCCGGCCAAACAAGGTGTGCATCAGGTGCTGGGTTAGGGTGAACCAGAGCACCCTGATGAAAAGCGAGCTACTGGAACAAGATGGAAATGGACAAGATGCGTCCATGCACAGTAACAAATTAAAAACACACACAAAAAATCAACAAAAACAACTACAAACCCACGTAAAAGCAGAATAAAATTATGTAAAAGGTCAACAACATCTAACCCACAGAGTTTAAATCCAAACCAAAAAGTGGGTCTCCAGCCTCGATTTAAAAGCTGCTACTGAAGGAGAGGAACTATCAGACGGGAAAGTTTATGTAAGAGAGTATCAGCTGACCCCAACATGCATACTGATGGAGAAAAAATTCTAACTGTCAGCCAGTGAACATATTTTGGGTTAATAACGGGCTTTCCATTACAGCCCACGTTGATAAGTTGTGTGAAACAATTAATCTGAACCTTGGGAATGTTTGTGCAACTCAAAATGGAATGTCACCTGAAGCCGCAGAAACGTATCTGCATTGGATGATTTGCCTAACCAGCTGGTGTCAGGCTAGTCAGAGTTAAAAAAAAAACACATTGGAAGTCTTGTATAAACAAGGAATCAAAGCTATGGATAAAAACGAAGAAGAAGAAGAAATTAAAGCTGCAAGCAGCGTCGTTCGGCCCTCGCAGCTCCGCGCCGCTCCGGCCTGGCCGGCAGCCCGGGGCACCAGGGCATGTCTGGCAGAACAGAAACGTCAATCATCCCGTCACCGGAAACAGCAAATCGCCTCCTAGTCCGCACCTCACCCTGACTAAGCATCCCCTCTGAGCTCACCATTAAATTGAATTGTAAGGTTACGGCGTTACGCCAGAATTCGCCATGGCATCAAAGCCCCTCCCTTTCTGGAAAGCTATCAGATTTGAATGGCCATTACAGCATCATGAAGACAGTGCATGACCTAGGTGTCATGTTGACTAAATTAGAGGGGACAAATATGGGCATTTCAGCATAAAATAATAACTTCCTTTAGTCAGGGGGCGGGGCTTAGATGATGTCAGCTGTCCACATTGTCATTGTTTACAGATATGGTCAATGATCACACAGACAAAGTTCGAAAAAGATCTGATCATGCACATGGGAGTTATTAAGTCAAGTAATGGCGAAAGGTCAAAGTTTGAGGCTTAGCCACGCCTACACCTTTCAACTTTTGAAAAATCCGACGGTTGACTTTTTTCCCCTATGCCTTAAGAGTATATAGCAGAAGTTTGAAGGCGATTGGTGAAAAGGGCGAAGGAGCATCACTCTCCAAACAACGTGTGCGAAAACCACTAAATCGCGTACTTGGACCAAAATGGCCGACTTCCTGTGCAATTTTGTGCTTGGCTCCAAGAGACTTTTTTGTAGGTCCTGGGACACCACATTAGTGTACCAAATTTCGTAATCCTCAGTGAAAGCAAGGCTTGGGGCTAATAGTTTAAATGGTCCTAGGGGGCGCTATTTCAGAAATTAGGCCACACCCACATATTTCAGGTGTCTATGTCTCTTTGGGGTCAGACTAGGATCACTCACCAGAAGTTTCGTAACAATATCACGATAAATGAAGAAATGAGAGGCAAACGTATTTCCATGGCGTGATGGCGATTTTCGCCATGCTCCCAAAGCCCCGCCTTTTTTTGAAACCTTACAGTACTGGATACCAAGTGACCTCAAGTTGTCTACTGCTATTTGCCAGACACTCCTGCCGATTGGGTAAAAGGAGTCCAGTAGGGAGCTGTGAAAAAAAGAGTGGCGCGGCGACAGGTCAAAGTTTGAGGCTTAGCCACGCCCACACCTTTCAACTTTTGAAAAATCCGACGGTTGAATTTTTTCCCCTATGCCTTAAGAGTATATAGCAGAAGTTTGAAGGCGATTGGTGAAAAGGGCGACGGAGCATCACTCTCCAAACAACGTGTGCGAAAACCACTAAATCGCGTACTTGGACCAAAATGGCCGACTTCCTGTGCAATTTTGTGATTGGATCCAAGAGACTTTTTTGTAGGTCCTGGGACACCACATTAGTGTACCAAATTTCGTAATCCTCAGTCAAAGCATGGCTTGGGGCTATTAGTTTAAATGGTCCTAGGGGGCGCTATTTCAGAAATTAGGCCACGCCCACATATTTCAGCTGTCTATGTCTCTTTGTGGTCAGACTAGGATCACTCACCAGAAGTTTCGTAACGATATCACGATAAATGAAGAAATGAGAGGCAAACGTATTTCCATGGCGTGATGGCGATTTTCGCCATGCTCCCAAAGCCCTGCCTTTTTTTGAAACCTTCCAGTACTGGATACCAAGTGACCTCAAGTTGTCTACTGCTATTTGCCAGAGACTCCTGCTGATTGGGTAAAAGGAGTCCAGTAGGGAGCTGTGAAAAAAAGAGTGGTGCGGCGACAGGTCAAAGTTTGAGGCTTAGCCACGCCCACACCTTTCAACTTTTGAAAAATCCGACGGTTGAATTTTTTCCTCTATGTCTTAAGAGCAGACGGCAGAAGTTTGAAGCAGATTGGTGAAAATGGCGACGGAGCATCACTCTCCAAACAACGTGTGCGAAAACCACTAAATTGCGTACTTGGACCAAAATGGCCGACTTCCTGTGCAACTTTGCACTTGGCTCCAAGAGACTTTTTTGTAGGTCCTGAGACACCACATTAGTGTACCAAATTTCGTACTCCTCAGTCAAAGCATGGCTTGGGGCTGACAGTTTTAATGGTCCTAGGGGGCGCTATTTCAGAAAATAGGCCACGCCCACCGGATGTTCACATCAGATCTTTTGAGGGGCCGGACTAGGATCACTCACAACAAGATTCGTGACGATATCTTTAGAAATGACGAAATGGAAGGCAAACGTAAGGCCATGGCGGTACGCCTGACTTCGCCGCGCCGCCACAGCCCCGCCTTCTGCCGAAAACTCCCATAAAGTGACGCCAAGCAACCTCCACTTGTCTTGAGTTACCAGCTACAAGTTTGTGGTGATTAAGTGAAATGGGGCAATTTGGGACCTTTCACAGTAAAACTTGACCTTTTTGGTCCTGAGGGGGCGGGGCTTGTGTGATGTCATCATCCGACCATTCAATTTACTTTGTGGCTGGATGACGAATGACCACAGAAAGTTTGGTAATTTTATTCCTTTCAGTTATTAAGTTATAGCAATTTAAAAAATTTTGGCGAGTAGTCAAACTTCGAGGCCTGGCCCCGCCCCTTCAACATATACGAAAACTCAGAATCCTTGTCTCATTTTGTTCGCCCATTCCTTCTGAGCAATTTTACACAAGTTTTGAGACGATCGTGCGAAAAATGATCGAGCAATCCAATCAGAAACGGACCCTAAAAACGGCAAAAACGGCTAAAAATCGCCATTTCAACCCAAAATGGCCGACTTCCTGTTTGATATTGACCATGCTTGCAAGAGACTTTTCTGTGCGGACTGTTGAGTTCTACAAGTGTACCAAATTTCATAACTGTACGATAAACTAAGCTTTATGGAGAGGGTATTTTTTCACTTTGTAGGGGGCGCTGTTCATCCATTTTCTTTGCGATTTTTTTGGGACCTTTAAAATATCAAATTTTTCACCAGGCCTGAGAAGTTTGCAAAATATTGTGAGTTTTTGGGTATGTTAAGGTCCCCAAAAAGCCGTTCAAAGGGGGCACGGAATAACAAAAAATAATAATAATTAAAGCTGCAAGCAGCGTCGTTCGGCCCTCGCAGCTCCGCGCCGCTCCGGCCTGGCCGGCAGACCGGGGCACCAGGGCACGTCCGCGGAACAGAAACGTCGACCACCCCGACACCAGAAACCGCAAATGGCCTCCTAGTCCGCACCTCACCCTGACTCAGCATCCCCTTTGAGCTCACCATTAAATTGAATTGTAAGGTCATGGCGTCATGCCAGAATTCGCCATGGCATCAAAGGCCCTCCCTATCTGGAAAGCTATCAGATCTGAATGGTTATCACAACATCATGAAGACAGGGCATGTCCTTAGTATCATGTTGACTAAATTAGAGGGGACAAATATGGGCATTTCCCCATAAAACAATAGACTTCCTATTATCAGGGGGCAGGGCTTAGGTGATGTCAGCTGTCCACAATGACGTTGCCTTGAGATGTGGTCAGTGATCACACAGACAAAGTTTGATATAGTTCTGATCGTGCACATGGGAGTTATTAAGTCAAGTAATGTAATGGCGAAAGGTCAAAGTTTGAGGCTTAGCCACGCCCACACCTTTATACTTATTTAAAATCCGACGGTTGAATTTTTTCCACTATATCTTAAGAGTATCTAGCAGAAGTTACAAGGCGATTGGTGAAAAGGGCGATGGAGCATCACTCTCCAAACAACGTGTGCGAAAACCACTAAATCGAGTACTTGGACCAAAATGGCCGACTTCCTGTGCGACTTTGCACTTGGCTCCAAGAGACTTTTTTGTAGGTCCTGAGACACCACATTGGTATACCAAATTTCGTAATCCTCAGTCAAAGCATGGCTTGGGGCTGACAGTTTTAATGGTCCTAGGGGGCGCTATTTCAGAAAATAGGCCACGCC